TATGTTAGCCAATTTGACAATAAATTATATTAAAAAAATAAAAAATAAAATGTTTATGCACAAAAAATAAATAACTCAGTGGTTCTATACCTTTCAGAACCAACACTCCATTTTACATTTTATTACAGGTATTTGTGTTATCTCTCTTATTATTCTTTTTTTCTCTTTCATTATTCTGCAATAAAATTCATAACCTATATAATCTACTTACATCCCTTACTAGAATATAAAGAAGAAATAAAAGGCAAGTAGTTTATAATGAAATAATATGTATTTTGATGTGAAATACTCAAGCATGATTATCCAGGAAAGAAAAAATCATCCCCAGTAATTTAAAAAGGGCTCTCAGGTTGGGGAGGGGGCTTGCAATACAGCCCCCGTGGAGAATCACTGGTTGGCGCCACCTCCGTTATTTCAGTGCAAAACCTACTTCTCAGGAGCTGGCTGACCTCGGGCAGGTGGCCTACCCTTTCTGACCCTCAGGTCCTACATCTATGACATGAGGGCAAACAGCAGCCAGGGTTGTGCTAGGGCCCAAATGCGTACGAACTAGTGCATGGGACACAGGATGTGCTTGGGAAATGGCATATGATGATGATGGTGACGGTGATGATAAATTTGTGCCAATCCCATCCGTATTTCCTAACCCCCCTTTAAAAGTGAAGAGTAGTTAACACTAAGATGCTGTATCTTGGGGCGCCTGGGTGGCTTAGTCGGTTAAGCGTCTGACTGTAGATTTCAGCTCAGGTCAGGATCTCACGGTCGTGAGAGCCTGCTCAAGATTCTCTCTCCCCCTCCCTCTGCCCCTCACCCCTGCTCACATGCAGGCGCTCTAAATAAATAAATAAATAAATAAAATGCTGTATCTCATTTAATTTCTCATCACAAACCCTATGAGAGGGGCATTACCGTTCCCATTTTCAGATGAGGAAACTGAGGCTCAGGGTAGCACCGAGGCCCTCCAGGAGCTCAAGAGATGGGACCAGGACACGTACCACTGAGGACCATCCCAGCGCCTACATCTGACCTCTGTCCGCACTGCCCCTTCAAGGTCACTGCCCGCCTCCTTTGACTGCTCCCCTGAGGTGGTGGTGGGGGCCATCCCTGCCTGGGCTGAGACCCAAGCCCGGCAGGTGTGTGAGGAGCTGGGCTCTCTGCACGCTGCTGGAGGCGGTGTGGACGGGGCCATCTTTTGAAAAGGAAATGGTTGTTCTGAGGGAAAAGCCCATTCTTTCCATTTCTGGGAGTGTGTTCTGAGGAGCGTACTGAATCCCAGACCCAGAAACACCTTTTTGCACCAGGATCTTTATTACAATGAGGACACTGAGGATGATGGACCCTTCTAGATTCCTCACTGTGTGCCAGGGGCTGTTTAAGGCACTTTACACGTAGAATCTCACTTTATTCTAAAAGTAGCCTTATAGTTAGGTACTATGGTTAGCCCCTTTTTACAGAGGAGAAAACAGGCTCAGAGTAGTTAAGTAACTTATCTGGGGTCTCCCAGCAGGATACTGGCAGAGGCAGGATTTGAACCCAGGCTGTTGGGTTCTAGCATCCTCATTCTTTAATGCCTGTGCCCTACTGATCAAAATTGTGTTTAAAAATAAAACTCCAGAAAGACTGGGATGAAAACAGCGAAATGCTCTAAATGTTCATTTCTAGGTTGCAAATATGTCTAAGAGGATAAACAGGTGTTTGTTTAATCTTTTCTGTGTTTTCCAAATTGCAGATAATGAGCATATGTGGTTTTTATAGTGGAAAAAGACCCTCTGCATTTGAATTTCAAGGCAACTGCCATGATTATAATTAGCAATTACTTCAGGAATATTTATCCAAAGGCCCATCTTCCCACTGGCTGGGCAAGCTTTGCAAGGGTCAAGGTTGTACATTTTGCTCACTGCTGTATTCCCAGCCCCTTGCACATTGTTTGGCACTCAGAAGGTGCTCAGTAAAAGTTTTTCCAACAAACTACATCACACTTCCACTTTGGGTGAGCCCCTTACTGCTCTGAGCCTCAGTATTCCCATCTGCGAGATGGGGGCGAGGACGTCTGCCATGAGGACGAAATGAGATGGTGGGTTGGAAAACTTTATTTAAGGGTTCTTAAGCTTGGTGTCTTGTTCCCCCAGCCCCGCCCTTTGAGGAAACAGACCTCTCTTGCCCCACCCTTCACCTCCCTTCTCTTCCTCCTCCCAATTCCTGGGCATGGAGCGGAGAGCGAAAAGAGCTCTTCCTCCCTTACCTCCAAGACGTCGATGTCTGCATTGCTGAAATCGATGTTGAGGATTTTGGGGAGAGGGACGCCAGAGCCCAGCACGGCTGTGAAAAGAGACAACAACAAAACGGTCAGGCACAGTCAGCGTGGCTAAGAGGTGTCAGCCACACAGGAGGCTACCAATATTTTCAAGGAAACCAGCCATTTCTCCTCTGTCTCTAGGCCTTTGTCCTTGTAGATGCTCCCACCCAGAGCACACTCCCTCACCCTTGCCTGCCTGCCAGGCTCTGAGCCTTCCCCGGGACTGTTTGGATGTCATGCCCTCTAAGAGATTTCCTCCACCCCAGGCCGAGGAACCTTGGGCTCCTGCCTCTCCCTCGAACTGCCCCCCCCCCACCATTATTGAAATCACAGAATGTTAATTCTCTGCTTCCACATCTGTCACCTCTACCCGTCTTGTGAGTTTCTTGCAGGCAAGGACTGTGTCCCCGGTGTCACCCAGCCCTGGGCTGGGCACAGAGGAGTGGACAGATGTTTGCTGAATGGAGGTATGGAAGGATACACATGGGGCCCCAACAAGTGACTGCCATGGGATGTGCTGTTTGCTTTTAGATTGGCAGAACTGAAGTAGATTCATACTGATTCATGTTCTGGGAAGGAAGGAAGGAAGGAAGGAAGGAAGGAAGGAAGGAAGGAAGGAAGGAAAGAAGGAAGGAGAGAAGGAAGGAAGGAGAGAAGGAAGGAAGGGAGGAAAGAACGTAAGAAGGAAGAGAGGGATGAAAAGACAAGTGAAGGAATCTGGATTAAATGAAGTCAAACAGATTTTCTGCCTCCAGCAGGACTTTTCAGAGAGCAAGGGACATTGTACACCTACCCCAGAGTAGTATATTCAGAATTTCCCAAACTTGCTTGGCGCCACGGAACCCTTTCCTTAAGAGTATCTTATGGGACGGATTTTTTCACGGAACCCACTTTGAGAATCCTGGCTCTTGTCCAATCTCTCACTTTTGAGAATGGCAAATTGCATTACAGCGAGACCAAGGGGCCTGCTGCCCAGTTCACACCACCTCTTAGTGATCAAGCCAGGGTGAGAGTCTCCACCTTTTGCCTCACAGGTCAGCCCAGCCCAGCCTAGCTCCTGACGTCGTCCTCTCCCGCTGGCGAACGTGCCTGGCCTTGGTGGCCAGGGCTTTTCTGTGATTGAGATTTGGCCTCCTCTGGTGACAGTTTTCGGGATAAAGGTCCATCTGACATCAAGAGCACCCCCAACGAATCCTCACTGGTAGAGCTCACAGCAGCCCCTCTCTGTCCTCTTCTCCATGATGCAGAAGCAGGGAGAGGGAGGGTGCGGCCAGACCGGCGGAGGCCTTGGGGGCGAGGTTTCCAGTTAAAATGGGGTTCAGCTACCCCAGCCTCCAGTGGCCCTGCAGGTCAGGTGGCTTCCTGATAACATCCTTGAGGCACCACAGAGAGGGGGAATCATGCTCAGTCCCTTCTTTTTATGAAGTTGGGCAAGAAGACCCTCTCATGATAACGTGGCTGCCTAGGGGGCGGATTCTGGGTTAGGATTCTGGGTTAGGAGGCTGGGGAGATCGGTAAGAGCAACTTTAGCTTTATCTGTACTGACGAAACTTTCTACAACAATAATGTATTCACACTGTCTCTGCATGTAAAATTAAATACGTGATATCAAAGATAAAAAAAAAACAAAACACGAAACACAAAAAACAAAAACAAAAATCAATCAGGGACATAACAATGTCAATATACCTAATAATACTAAACTATATACCTAAAAATGGTTAAGAAGGTAAATCTCACATTATGGGTATTTTACCACGATTAAAAATAAACCTCAAAGATATCAGGAAATATTTTAGGCCATATTTTTTTTTAATGGAGAAAAAAGAGTTTAATAGGAAATATAACCAGGGGTCGAGATTAATTGCCTCTGGGAGGTGAGATTTTACCTTTTATTTATTTTTTATTTATTTAAAAAAATTTTTTTTAACGTTTATTTATTTTTGAGACAGAGAGAGACAGAGAATGAACAGGGGAGGGGCAGAGAGAGAAGGAAACAGGCTCCAGGCTCTGAGCTGTCAGCACAGAGCCCGACGTGGGGCTCGAACTCACGGACCGTGAGATCATGACCTGAGCCGAAGTCGGACACTTAACCGACCAAGCCACCCAGGCGTCTCGGGATTTTACCTTTTAAACTGTTCAGGACTTTCTAAAACTTACACACATATAATTTTCATGTGTGATCAGAATTTTACATGGATAATCAGAAAAATCAGCCAAATAAGTGAAGAAGAAGGAAAGGGAGGAGGAAGAGGAGGAGGAGGGGGAAGAGAAGGAGGAGGAGAAGGAGAGAAAAAGGAGGAGAAGGAGGAGAAGGAGAGAAGAAGGCGGCAGAAGCAGCAAATATGGAAGTTGATGCACCCTTGGGGCAATATTTGCGCTCAGAGGGTTAAATAAATAAGCTTAGAATGAAGCTCTCAGGAATACGGTTGAGGTAGAATGGCTGTGTGTCAAACATGCCCGACGAACCAGCAGCCACCAGGTCCCCAAGCCACCCCCCACCCCCGCGGAGGCACAGGCACCGCTCTCACCGTTCATGGCGGGCAGAAACGCCAGGTCGAAGATCTTCCCCACCAGCACCTCCAAGAGGCCAACCTGCAGGGGAAGGACGAGAACTCAACCCAGGCATTGGTTCGCTCAGATCCCCGGGGGCCCCTTGAGGCCCTGCCCTGTGGCCGGAAGGCGCAGAGCTGCTCTGGGAGAATCTGGGAGCTGCCGTGACTTTAGAACCACCTAGGTGGACAGCCGCAAGGCGCATCTGTGCACCTGCTCTCGGTGTAGTTGGGGAGACTGAGGCCCAGAGCAGGGCAAGCGCCGGCCCCAGGCTCATGGTGAGGCAGGGACTGGGGGAGGCCCGGAGCACTGGTCTACCGTGGCTCGCTCTGCAGCCACCCTGGTGTCATGGAAGGCCCTCGGGCTGTGTAGCCAACACTCTGGGGTTCCATCCCAGCTCAGTCTCCGTGGGCCTCTGAGAAGTCTCTCTCACCTCTCTGACCCTCAGTTTCCTCAGCTGTAAAATGGGCCAGCAAGCCCAGCCTGCAAGGATGCGGCGAGGATCACAGGCAGATCAGGTAAAATACCTAGCCTTGAGACTTCTCATGTGCGCACGTGCTTGACTTCTCTAAGCCCTGGTTTCCACAGCTGAAGATAGGAGTGAATACTCCTTTCTCGTACAGCGGTTGTAAAAGCCGAATGTAAACTCCTCGTTGAGATTCTGGGTTAGGAGGCCAGGAAATCATTGAAGCAACTTTAGCTTATCTGTACTGGCCTGAAACTTTCTGCAACAATAATGTATTCACACTGTCTGCATGTAAAATTAAATGGAATATCAAAGATAAAAAAAAACACAAAAACAAAACAAATCAATCAGGGACAATAATGTCAATATACCTAATAATACTAAACTATATACACAAATGGTTAAGAAGGTAAATCATTATGGGTATTTTACCACGATTAAAATAAAACCTCCAAAGATATCAGGAAATATTTAGGCCATATTTTTTTTTAATGGAGAAAAAAAGAGTTTAATAGAAATATAACCAGGTCGAGATTAATTGCCTCTGGGAGGTGAGATTTACCTTTATTATTTTTTATTTATTTAAAAAAATTTTTTAACGTTTATTTATTTTGAGACAGAGAGACAGAGAATGAACAGGGAGGGGCAGAGAGAGAAGGAAACAGGCTCCAGGCTCTGAGCTGTCAGCACAGAGCCCGACGTGGGGCTCAACTCACTGCGGACCCCGTGAGATCATGACCTGAGTTTGGGCAGTCGGGACACCGATTTAACCACCAAGCCACCCAGGCATCTCGGGATTTTACCTTTTAAACTGTTCAGGACTTTCTAAAACTACACACATATAATTTTCCATGTGTGATCAGAATTTTATGGATAATCAGAAAAATCAATAAATAAGTGAAGGAAAGGAGGAGGAAGAGGAGGAAGAGGAGGGAAGAAGGAGGAGGAGAAGGAGAAAAAGGAGGAGAAGGAGGAGAAGGAGAAGAAGGCTGCAGAAGCAGCAAATATGAAGTTGATGCACCCTTGGGGCAATATTCTTCTCAGAGGTTAAATAACAAATAAGCTCAGGAATGATCTGAAGTTTGAGTAGAATAATGTTGACGGTTGTGTGTCAAACATGCCTGACGAACCAGCCAGGTCCCTGCTGTCACCCCCCACCCTAGTCCCAAGGAGGCACAGGCACCACTCACCGTCATGGCAGACAGGCTTAAGATCACCAGCAACCCAAGAGGCCAACCAGGGAATTACCACCCAGGCATTGGTTCAGATCCTGGGCCCCACCTGCCTCAGCTGGAAGGAGGGCAAGCATGTTTGGGAGAATTAAATCTGGAGCTGCCGGATTTAGAACCACCTAGTGGGATTAACAGCCTCAAGGCGATTCAGCCAACCTGCTCTGGTGGGAGACTGAGGCCCAGAGCAGGGTGCCGCCCAGGTCAAGTGGTGAGGTAGGTCTGTGGGAGGCCCACTAAGCCCACTGCTCGCCTCGGGCAGCCACCCTGGTGTGTCATGTAGGCCTCGGCTGGGTAGCCACTTGGGTTCCATCCCAGCTCAGTCTCTCCGTGGGCCTGAGAAGTCTCTCACCTCTCTGACCTCTCTGACCTCAGTTTCCTCAGCTGTAAAATGGGCAAGCCCAGCCCAGCCTGCGGGCGATGCGGCTAGGATGATCTGCAGGCAGCAGATCAGGTAAAATACCTAGCCTTGAGACTTCTCATGGCACAGCGTGATGGCTGACTTCTCTAAGTCGGTTTCCACAACCCGGTTTGAAATGGGAAGAGGAGTGAATACTCCTTTCTCGTACAGCGGTTGTAAAAGCCGAATGTAAACTCCTCCATGTAAAGTCCCCGCCTGGCTGTAGAACGCCAAGATGGTGCTGACGCGTCACGACAAGAGTTAACGGGACTTTCATCCCAGCCATGACC